TTCTCCCTTTCCCACTCCCCTTGCTTGTGTTCCTGCTCTTGCCGTCTCTCTGTCAAATAAATAAATAAAATTTAAAAAAGATATATAAAACCTTTGGTTAGAAGCAAAGGGGGATGCTCTACCCCCTCTGGGAGAAGAGGCTGCTACTTTGTCTGTGAAGTAGCTCCTTTCTTACTTCTCTACTTGATAAACCTTTGATCCTTCTTCTAAATGGATTGTTCTTGAATTCTTTCTCAAGCAAAGCCAAGAACAGTGATGGTGAGGAACCCAAGACCCTTCCTCCCATTTTGGCTGTCTTTTCTCCCATGACCCACACGTTGTCACTGCTAAGAACAAGTCCCCATACAATGTGTCTCTCTCTGTTACTGTATTGATCTTCCCACTCAGGAGATGACCCTGACAGGCCATGGTGTCTCTTCTGGGGAGGTGATTCCACCCCGTTGACATGTTGACCAAGGGTGCACTAAGCCTGAGCACTCAGGGGTACCATTCTTTATATTGCTCTGAGGGTGACAGCCATTTGTTCCCATAAAATGTGTCCTCCAAATAGTGTCCGTGGGTTGGGGTGGGCCTTCTCACAACTGTTATGGAGCTTTTTCTGCATCTCACCCATCCTCTTCCCAATGCCATCAAATTCTCACATCATAAACCCAGGTTAGCAATTTATTGTCAAATTCTGTCAAGGTAAGATCTCCCTGATCTCCCTTCAAGACCACTGACTTACTTTTTTACTTGAAATGTATCTCCCCAGTGGAAAAGTTCTAGGTCTGGAAGCAGGCACTATTTTATACACAAGGGATAGAGACAAAACAGCAAATTCTCTCAAAATTCTTCCATTCTTTGGGAGGCAGGAGTGGATAATAAATAAAAGCAGACATTAGTAAGATAATATTGGATAGTGATGAGCGTTACAGAGAAAACAAGCCGGGTGAGGTGATAGAGAGTGGCCCCTAGCGGTATTTTCAGCTGGGGAGTCAGGGAAAGTGTTCCTGATGCGGTGACATTTGAGCTGAGTTCTCAGCAAAGATGTGAGCACTGCCTACAGGCACAGCAAGGACCAGAGACAACGGTCAGGACGACTGGAGCAGAGTGACGGGGAAAGTGGCAGCAGCTGGACTCTGTGGGGGAGCAGGGCTACATCTTGGACCGACTGTGCCTGACACCCCCAGGACAGTGAGCTGGAAGGCCTCTTCCAGCTTCACCATTCTTAAGTCCTAAATTAAGATTTAGAAAGCTCTCTCTGCCAAATGTGATTCCATAATTTGACAACCTAGGTTGTGTGACAACCCATTTTGAGTTCTTTTATTCTGATCCAAGCTCTTAATCACTATCAGAAAGACAGCTTCTGACTTTCTATGGCCACAACTTTTCATTCCCTATATTTCCCCCACCACAACCTTATATAGCCCAAGTCTGTTCAAGGACTATTTCTGCATGAACATTAACACAATTTACTGGTAAATAGCTAAATGGACATTTAGCATATAAATGGAGCCAAAAGGTCGGAAATGAAAATTCTTTCTTCATCGTCTTTTATAGACACTGTGCCTACCCCAGACCGGTGATGAGAAGGAAAGAGAAAGGCTAATTTTCCCTATTGATGCTTCTGTTGTTTCAAACTACTCCCTCTGCTGTGATCCCCCAGGCAACAAATGAAGCATTGTGAAGTCTTTAATGGTTCTCTCAATGGGCAATTATACATTTTTTAAGATAAAAAATCTTGTCCATAGTGCAGCTGATTACATTCATTTATGAAAATGACTAAAAATAGCGAGTCGAAATTTCTTCTGTCTGGTTCTGTTGAGGAAATCATCAGAGCGATAATCGAAAGCACAGTAGACCTGGCATCAGGAATTGAGGCCAGCTCTGATCCCAGCAAGTGATATGACCTTGAGTACACGATGTCACTTCTCTTTGCCTCTGTGTTCTTACTTGTATGAAAGAGAGAGGAACACCACACAATACACTTTGTCTCAGAGTTGATGGGGCTGGGGTGTTACGGGAAGAAGCACCTCCAGTTTTTTTCCGGGGGCGGGGGTTGAGGGAGGTGGGGAGTGGGTGCGGGATATACATGTTTGTTTTACGATTCGTCTTTAAATGGTGCGCATTTGCTCTATTTGTGAGATGTATGTTTCACAATACATTTCTAAAGCCGTCAATAACTATCTATAGATACACTTGACAAAGTAGACGCGGTATGAGTTTTCCGCTGGATCTCCTAGCAAACAGACTAAGCCTAGGTGGAAGGCAAAACAGTCTTTCCCCTCCGATCAAAACATGTTCTTTTAAAATAGAGTTTAACTCAAAGAATGATCAGTGAAAATTTCCAATGAAACAAAAGGGCGTATCATGTTTCCTATGGCCTCCTCCTACCCTGGTCCTCCATCCCTGCCCCACCTTTGAGGCTTTTTAGGTTTCTTTCCATAAATACTCTGGAAAGCCAAAAACAGAGAATCTTGAAAGCAACAAGAGAGAAGCATATAGAAATATTTGTGTGCACAGTACTTTTCTTCTTTCTTTTGTTTTTTTTTTTTACGTAAATGAGAGGCCATTACACATGCTGCTCTGTACTTTGCCTTTTTTTTTTTTTTCCATTTATCTTGGAGATATTTCAGTGTCATTCTTACAGATTTAAATTTATTCTTTTTCACTGAATTGCATGCTGTGGATATGCTGCCCTTCATTCCATAAGACCCTCTGATAAATATGGAGTTTGTTTTTGCCCTCGTCCACATTTCTGCAATGACTGTCTTTGTACTTCTCTCTCCTCACGCGTATTTGAATATATCTGAAGACTATTCCCAAAGTGCAATTGATGGATCAGAAGGTTAGACCCACTTACATTTTAGTAGTTATTGCCAAAATGCCCTCCAGCGGGTTAGTATGCCTTCACTTGATCAGCAGGACGAGAGAGTGGCTTTCCAGCTGCTCCCATGATAGTACGTTAGTCTTTTTATTAACAAATCGAAGAGGTGAGAAATAACATTTCATCATTTGAATGTATTTCTTTAACTGTAAGTGAAAATGACGCATCCTTTTGCTTTTCTCTGAAGTTCCTATTTGGGCCTATTGTCCATTTTTCTTCTGGTTTCTTGTTCCTTATTGGTTTGTAAGAGCTCTTTAGATACTAGCCTTTCACAGTTGTTTTTCAAGGTCTACAGTTCTCATTTGTTATTGGCTTGTAGTACTTCACCTTTTGCAAAAATTTTAAATTATTAATCAAATTAATACATTCTTCCTATATAGTATGGGGGTTGTTTCTTTCTTGGAATAGTCTTTCCTACTCTAATGCCAGTATGAATTTTTCCCCCTGGTTTTCTTCCAGTGTTTTATCTAAGTTTATTTTTCACTTTTAACTCTTTTATCAATATCGCTTAATGGACTTATTTAGTGTAAGGAGCGAAGTAAGGATTCAACATTTTGTTTTTCCCCCGATGTCTAACCTGCTGTCTCAAATCCATTTATTTATTTATTTATTTTATTTTATTTATTTGACAGAGAGAACACAAGTAGGCAGAGAGGCAGGCAGAGAGGGGGAAGCAGGGTCCCTGCTGAGCAGAGAACCCGATGTGGGGCTCGATCCCAGGATCCTGGGATCATGACCTGAGCCGAAGGCAGAGGCTTTAACCCACTGAGCCACCCAGGCGCCCCTCAAATCCATTTCTTAATAAGTTCTCTGCACAGTTTTGAAATGTCTCATTATTGGGGTCTAAAAATTACTGAATCTATAAGTTGAAAACAATTGGATGGTAAATTTATGAATTAACTCAGTCATTCCTGGCATATTTAGGGAACCATCTAACACAATAGCATACATAGCGTGTGCCTACTATGTGCTAGTTCCTGCTCTGAGTGCGTTGCATGTACTTGCTCATTTAATACACACAACCATGGTATAAGGTAGGTGCTGTTAGCTTCATTTACAGATAAAAACACAGAAGCACAGAGAGGTCACGGAACTGCCCTCCGATCACACTGCTTGTGAGTGGCAAAGCCACGAACATAGGCAGGTTGACCTCAGAATCCATGCTTCTGTCCACACTCTTTATTACCTCCACTGGGTGGAAGATACTCTTGTGTGTGCTTCCCAGATTGTTCTAAGAACTTCACATAAAATGATTTCACTTGCTCTTCACAACAATCCTCAGATGTAAGCACTATTCCTATCTCCATTTTGAGATGAGCAAACTGAGGCAAAGCACAGCTGGAAGATAGAAAGAGAAAGGGGAGTGGTGAGATGAGTCCAGAGAAGGAGGAATTTTGTTCTGTGTCTTTAGAGCAGCAAGGAGTCACAACAATATGTAAATCAGGGCTCACCCGCTCAGGTTTGGTTTTTGTGAAGTTCCCTGGGAGCAGCATGAAGAGTGGAGAGGGGGAAGGGCTGCAGAATGGGTGTGGGGAGACCAGACCCCGGGCTCAGACCATGCTGCAGGGTCCGCCTACCACAGGTGGCCATCCAGTGATGAGTAGGCTATACCCACAAGGCACGAGAATGACTGCCATCTGGGGCAGCATTTGTGCACCGGGGACAGAACTCAAGACAGGTGCTTATAGTATTTACACTTTTCAAAGGAAACCAAAGCGCCTGGAGGTTAAGTACCTTGCCTGTGCTCGCCCAGCTAGTGGGTGCTAACTCCCAATCACAAACCCTTCCCTCTTTACTCAATCCCCACGCAGATTGAGTCCTTCAGATGCTGGAGGGCTGACTCATGACAGCCTTGAAAATTGGATTTAGCAATTCCTTTACCATCCTCTCTTCTCAGAGCTGGAGAGAAATCAAGGAGATTTGATGGACGATATTAGTAGATGAGCTTCTATTATCATATATCACTAGGTCTTTTAAGAGTTTCTTTTTCAGTTAAGGTTAACTTTTCTTCAAACTTCGGCATGTTCTGTTGAGGTTACTTTGTGAATCCTTGTAACTGCTTTCGTCCGGGTGAAGGTCAAGTTCGGGGCCCACTGTATTCTGCGGTGCTATTAACTACCCTCTCTCCCTGCAGATCCGAGTGATGGTGGACCTCTGCAACAGCACCAAGGGCATCTGCCTCACAGGTAGGCGGGCCTGGCACTGAGCGAGAGGGGTTCACACTGCACATACGTGGGCTCACCAAAGGGTCAGGGCAGAATGAACACCTAGGAACACTAAGGGTTATAAAAATACATGTTGGTTTACTTTTACCAGATTTTTAAAAAAGATTTTATTTATTTATTTGACAAAGAGAGAGAGATCACAAGTAGCCAGAGAGGCAGGCAGAGAGAGAGGGGGAAGGAGGCTCCCTGCTGAGCACAGAACCCTATGCGGGGCTCCATCCCAGGACCCTGAGATCATGACCCGAGCCAAAGGCAGAGGCTCAACACACTGAGCCACCCAGGCGCCCCTTACCAGATGTTTTTAATGAGCTCAGTATCAATTGAAATATAATTATGAAAAATAATATTTTTTGTATTACCATAGAAATATAGCCATGAAAAATAACTAGGTCTTGGATAATTAGAAACGTGTGGTACCTTGAAATGGGGCCATAGATGTTTTCCTTATTCACATGACTTTTTAAAAGAGGAAAAAAAAGGGGTATTCCCTTATCAGAAGTAATTGTTTCCTTATACATATGGCATGAACAGGAAGTTCTAGAAGCAAACTGCTAATTAGTCAAGAAAACATTATGAAGAGTGCTCTGTGTGTGGTGTCTACTGTGTGCTAGGTGATATGGGGGGTTATGTCACAGCTCTCCTCCACTCAGGAAATCAAGGACAAGTAAACAGGAGGGAGGGAATCAACAAGGAGGCACACCAAGCCAAGGGACACAGCATGGCAAATGGGTTGGGCGGGGGAGGAGGAGCGTGCTATTGATAGACAATGTACACCTGAACCTAGGTGTCCTGCCTCCTGCCAGAGGTGGGGGGGTGCCTGATTCCTGTCTGAAGGGGGAGTGCCTGATTCCTGCCTGAGGGGAGCTGGGTGCTTGATTCCTGCTTGAGATGAAGTGCTTGCCTCCTGCCTTCAGAAGCTTGGGGCAAGGAAGAACACAGACCCCAGACAGGTCACCTAATTTGTTTTACCCTAGACCAAGGAAGGCTCTGGCCAGGCCCAAGGATGGGCCTACGGAACCTGATATCAGACACAGCTATTTCCATCCTCTCCCCCATTCTGAGGAAATGGGGGAATGATTTTTTGCATTAAAAGTCTACTATGGAGTAAATGCACAGCTCTCATGAACTTTAAAACGTAACCAGAAGACTTTGAAGCCTGATGAAGCTTCTGTTGATCCTTCTCCGTGTCTGCCCTCAGGCCCTGGGGGTGTCCCACTGACAGGGCACACTGGTGGAGGTTGAGAAACCCTGCAATGTGCGTCCAGCCGTGAGAAACCCCGTCCTGTGTGCCAGCGTTCTCTCCATGACCGCCCATGACCTGCCCTGCACTGGGAGCTCAGTGCAAGTTTGGTGAACGACTAAACTGATGGTTTATGGAAGTGATTAAATTGGGGGCAGTGGGCTGGTGAAAAAGACATTTCCCTGAAGAACCCTGGGTCCAAGTCTGCCTCTTGTTTGTTTAGTTTAGTTTTAGCGAGAAAAGCTATAATCCTGTGGCTTCTTGGGAAATGCTAATTGAATTACTCAAGTCACGTTTCGACCCTCAAAGAAAATTAAATCTCTTTGGAACAGCTTGGTCCTTCATTCTGAAACTCTTGTATCTTACGCACCTTTCTTTCATCTTTGAAAGTCCTTTTCAGAGTTCCTCATGTGACAGTAATGAGCACCAGAGAAATGCTCAGATGGATGGAATTACAGGCACAAAAGTCCTGTTGAGAGGCACAGGAAAAGCCTCCTCCTTTTTGATATTTATTATAGAAGTGCTAGAAGGAGAGCCGGGCTGTTCAGTGAATGCTGGTGGAGCTGTCGAGACCACTTAGGGAAGATTAGGGGTGGGGGGTGGGGATCGCATCTGTGCTGGAAATGGGTTGAGGAAGTTATTCTTTGGTACCTCGAAATCTTTTCAAAAGCCAGCACCTTCTCCTTTCATGCCAGCTTGAAACTGAGCCCCCTTTTAACACAGAAGGCTCTTCAATTAAAACTTAGGTATGAAATATACAAGTTGCCAAGTGAGGTTTTGTCTTGGGACAGACCACGCTGTCTGGTCAGGGGGCAGAAAGGTGACAGGATCCAGGACTGCACTGGCAGCTACAGGGGGAAGGGCAGAGAGCCTTGGTCCAGAGCCCCAAGAAGATACTGGCAGGAGCGGCTGCCAGAGTGGACCCCGGGCTTGGGGCCTGAGGCCTGAGAACAAGATCCAGCTTTACATGGGACTCAGCTTTGAAAAAGCAGGCACTGTGACTCGAAGCTAGTCTAGCTGGGACCGCGAAACCCCATCCCTGTTCCCTTTTCTGGAGGCAGCTGTCAGTGCTCTGGGGACAAGGACAGATGTATGCAGCCGGTAACCATCAGGCAAATAGTGAGGGCAGTTCAGGAGCTAGAGCAGGTAAGGGTTTTGCTAGTGCACATTTTGTTCTTTTGAGTACAAACGGCATGCTTTTCTGGATGCATCCCATCCCAAAGCCCAGATTTCCTGGGACCCCAGAAACATATTTTCTGGAAAAGCAGCTGTCTCAAAGAAGGCAGTTTCTTGGGTTCTTCACTTCAGTGGACTCAGAGCATAGGCTTTTTTGGAAAATCTCACAACTATGACATTACTGACCTGCTTATCTGGGCAGAGGCGCTTCAAATCCACATTGCCCATTCTCCTTATGGCCAAGGGGCTCCAACCCCGTGATGGCACTCCTTACGGATGCTTACCCTGTACCCCGGCAGACACGGAGAAGGGATCCCAGCCGCCACGGAGCATGGCCTCATGTCATTCTTTTCTGGCCTTCCAGAAATCTGTACTGACGGATGAGAACTGGCACTTGAAATAAAACCTATTGGCCATCCCTACTCTAAATCTTGAAGGTTGCCATCCCATGGTCCAAAGTTGAAATGCACCAAACAGATGGGATTGGACCAAAGCTGCAGTTTAGCGGGGACATGGGAGGAAAGACACCTTTCCAAGTTAGGTGGCCTGGGACTGGCCCAGCGGTTGGTGGCAGGGGCAGCCGCAAAGGGTGTACCGTCGCACACAGGCTGGATCCTGAGGCCTCCGAGCTGTGGCCAGGGCAACGCTGGTAAACTGACAGGCTGTTCTCAGAAACAGCTGGTGTTTGCTCATGCTCTCACTCAGCCGGCCTCACTGAGCCACTAGCCTGTTGTTCTAGTTGGTAAGTTCCAGTTCCACATGCGAGAACTAGGGCCCTCTCAGGCCATCCCTGAAGGACAGCCAAGTACTCCTGACTCCCAAGGGAAAGGGGAGCCACACTCCCTTTGGCTAGAGCTCCCGTCTGGCCCTGAAGCCTTGGCTGGCTGAATCCCAAGCCCTGGGGAGTCCCTGCTGGGAACAGGAGAGGAAGAGAATCAGGGCCATAGGCCCCACAGGCACCAGGCCTGGCTTTATCAGGCTTAGCGGCTGAACCAGACCTCCCTTTCTGACATGTTTCTATTTGGATTTTTATTTGGGGGCTTCTTTGTGTTCCACTATTGGTGAGACTTCGGGAAACGTGGTCATTCCTTCCTCATAACTGTCGTGCCTATGTTTCTTGTCTACATTGAAATCCTTCTCTTTGCTAGCAGCAGAGCTTATCCGAGGGGGGGAATAAAGTCAAGAAGTTACCAGTTATTGTAAGGACAGAGGGATGTATTTGTCAAGGCAGGTTAGGACAGGCTCTGGTAGTGATTAAACCATAAAATCTCAGTGGCATAACCCAGCAAAGGCTTTTTTTCTCCACGAAGTCCGGACACTCCAAGTTGGTTCTGGGGACTCCGGGATCCCAGTATTGCCATCTTGTGGTTCTGTCATGTCAGTGCCAGTCACCACCACTCCTCTCTGATCTCTCTCAGCAGAGGGGCATTGTTTCGCCTTGCAAGACCATCCACAGACCTCTGATTTACATAACTAGGGCCACTGTGGGTCAGTCTTAGATTTCAAGGAGAAAAAAACTCTAAGCAGCTCAGCTCCTCCAGCATCCGCCCACTTCTCACCAATTCTGGTTAGGAATGTGGGTTGGGGCAGTCAGAGCCCGCTGCGGTAATGAAAATTCAGGGCCCCTTCTTCAAAAAGCAGGAAAAGGGCTTCCTCCTTTCTTTACTCTCTACCTGCTATGGTGGGGCTTTTTATATTTTATTTGCTATTTAGTGTCATACTCCTCAAGGTGAGGGATGCTCACAGAAAGGGTACAGGCCCTCACAAGCACAGGAGACCCCACTCTGTGACGAAGGCATGTAGGACACATGTAGGGCCCAGGCCCCCTTCAGTGTGGAAAGGTGGCAGCAGTCTCTAACCGGGTGGGGAATGGGGCAGAAGCATCAGAATCTCGGGAGGCAGCAGAAAACTTGTCCTGCGGAAGCCAGGAGGCAGTGGGAAACAGGGAGACAGTGGGAGGCAGGACCACATGTGAACCAAGTCTCCAAGTCCCAGAGACATTCTCCATTGTCCTATCGCTCCAGCCCTGCATACGGTGCTAACATGAACTTGGCTATCCACGTGTATCCCCAGGGTTTCTGTTATTCAAGAAGAGAAGAGTCAAGAGCTGAGAAAACATCCTGATAAACAGTTTTCTCAAGACCCAGTTGGCACATACTATTTGAGATTTGACATTAGTATAATGACACATATTTGGGGCTTCTTCCAGGTGTAAGCAGCCTTTGGGCAGCTCTGTAGGCATCCCGAGTGGGCGTCAGGATACAGGCTCACCATCACTATAGCACTCTGCTTCTGGGCTCTTTGGAAGTGTTGGTCTCCTTTCTCTTCTGAAATTCTCTTCTGCATTAGGTTCAGGGCTCGGGACCTTCTGGATTCTCTCCTGTACCTTTGGTTCAGTCTCTCTTTCCTGGTGCCTCTTCTATCACCCACCTCCCTCCAGATGTGGTGTATGCCCCCCCCCCTCCATCCCACAATTTGGCTCAACATTTTACTCTTGCCCCCAGACTAATAGCTCTCAGGCTTTCTAGGGTCAGGGACCCCTTTAGGACTCTGTTGATAGTGACTGATTCTTTTTCCAGAGACGTTTCGCATCTGGTCGGGATTCCCCAGGACCACCTGCTTCCCAGTCACCTGTGGTGCCTGGTGAAAAAGCACTTTCCTGGGCCCCACTCTAAATGTAAACTGAATTAGATTCTCCAGCTGGGGTCTGGGTAGCTGCATTTTAATATTTTATTTTATTTATTTATTTTTTTTTTATTTATTTGACAGACAGAGATCACAAGTAGGCAGAGAGAGAGAGAGGAGGAAGCAGGCTTCCTGCTGAGCAGAGAGCCCGATGCGGGGCTCGATCCCAGGACCCTGGGATCATGACCTGAGCCGAAGGCAGAGGCTTTAACCCACTGAGCCACCCAGGCACCCCTGGGTAGCTGCATTTTAACAAGCATTCTAGGTGATTCTATGGACTCAGATGACTGAGAACTATAACCATAGGTGTCAATGATCCTCAGGTCAATGTCAGGAAATCCAAATCTAAACATTTCTCCATAGCAACATTCTTGGCCATGACCAAAGTGTCCTAAATATACAGCTCTAGCCAGGACCTCTCCCCAATACTCCTGCTGCATAGAAATGGTTATAGGACTATCTTGAGAATTCTTGAAACCTATATAGACAACTGATCCCTGCTTGGTGACCTTTTATCCAATCTACACATCTGAATTTGGTTCCATCTGTAGTCAGGAATGATGACTGATTTCTTCTGCCATCTGTCAGCTCTTCCCATCACCTCCTTACGTGTGTACAAGCATGTGCCATCTGGGGGTAAAATCATGTTGCCACAGACTACAGTGGCCCTAGAAAATGTGTTATCATTTTCACCAAATCATTTTTGCCCAAAGTGGGACTGCATATATAGAAAGAATACATCCAAACACTTCTTCCAAGAGTCGTCATTCTCTTTCCATCCATATCCTCAGTTCCCATCATCTGAGAGTCCTCCTTTCTTGCCCCTACCCAGTCAGACATGGAGCCCTGCTCATTCTTCTGCTGAAATACCTCTTGAATTTCTAGCTTTCTCTACAACTCTACAGTTATCAACCAGTTTGTCCACAACCTTGCCCCTCATTTTAACTACAAAGGTCTTCTGGGTGTTTTCTCCCCACCCCACCTCTCTTTCTCTCTCTCTTCTTTTTCCCCAGTTGTATACAACTTCCATCTACAGAGAGGATTTCAAAAACACACTGATTTCATGGTATCATCCCCCAATTAAGACCTACTGTAGCTCCCCACTGCCTTGCAGATACCACCTACACCTCTCCTTTTGGTGTTCAAATGCCCCACACCCACCCCGCCAAGTACTGACTCAGCCTCATCTCTACACACACCAGGTTGGCCAGTCTTCCTCCTTTCACTCTCTCTGAATCATGCAAGTTTCCACCCCCATGTCTTTGTTCCTGCTGGTCCCCGACCTGAGCTGCCCAGCCCTCACCCCCATGGCCGTGCCAGGCCCATTGTTTCTTCAGCACCATAGCTCAAACCTCACACGCTCTGGAAACCTTCTCAGACTGCCATGTGCCAGACTACCACAGTAGTCCTTGGAGGGACTGCTTTTCTGTAACTCCCTCCCTCGTGTTTCATTGTGGTTTCCAGCTAGATTGTAAACACCGGAGATACAGGGACCAAGATTTCTGCTGCCTGGTAGACTTTAGTGCTAGACACAGGAAGTGCTTAGTAAATGGCAGTTTTATGAAAAGTCATAGGCTTTCTACTCCAATATGGGTAATCATCATATATGTTCTGGAAAAACAGAAGGACCTCAGCCGCTCATGTTATAAGCCCATTGGCTTCTCCGAGTGCTTAAATAAAATAATTGACAATGAGACTCTCCTATTTGTGGAAGCAAAATTGTTTTGTTGGATTATGTGTAAATGGTTCATCTGAACCCCTTAGATTCTCAGGTAATTACACACTAAGCAAGATGTTTGTTACCTGATCTGGGCCCTCAATTGTTCCCAGGCTATTTCGTGCAACAGAGTAGAGACCTGAGAACCAGTTCTGCTCTCAGTTGCCCTAGGTGGCCTGGAGGAAATATGCTAGCTGGATGAGAGCTCTTGGGACTGCTTTCTCATGACAGCCGGATCTCAGCCCGGCAATGACAGCACCACCATTTCCCGATGCTTACCTGGGCCCGGGCTGCGCTAGCGCCCTCCTGCAATCTTACCAAGCCTCATTTAATGAAGCTGACTGCTTGAGAGATGACTGACGTACGAATCTATGGTGAAGCCCACTCAGAAATTATTCTTAGTCCATTGAAACCTAAGCAAAAGTGGGTTTGACTGGCAAATTGTTGAATTGCTTTCAAGGATCTTTTGAGTGAATATGCTGAGTTCTTAATAAAAGGCGTGGAGTGGTTGCTTAGGGCCAGTAGATGTTAGTAATTATTAGGAGGGGAAGGTACCCTTTGATTTGGGGGTTGTGGTGCTGGCTTCACTTTCTTCCAGCCATGCTTTATCATCTAAATTTGTTTTTTTGTTGTAGGACCCCCTGGCCCACCAGGTAAGAGCCCATGGATTTTCCCACTTCCTGGGGAATGGGGGGGCTAGTTCCGCAGATGGCTCAGAAGGGATGGAGGTAGGAAAGGGGGAAGAACATGAGTGTGTCCCCCTCCTTGTCTCTACCCAAATCACGAGCTCTTTTGTCCCCTCCCACTCAAGAACCTGCCATTACCATTCCCTTGCTGTCACTGCAAGGGGGTGGGGGGGGGAAGCAAAGGTGGAAAAGGAAGGGAAGTGGGAAGAGAAGATCTGGGAAAGGCACTGATGCCCATCCAGTTTCACTGGCTAAAGCAGATCATTTTGAGCTCAGTGACGATTTTTTAAGATGGTCTTGTTTCCCGTGTTTTGACGCAGGACCTCCAGGAGTCGGTGGGCTTCCAGGACACAATGGATCAGATGGACAGCCTGGTCCCCAGGGCCCAAAAGGAGAAAAAGGAGCAAATGGAAAACGAGGAAAACTGGGTATTTTGGCAACTTTTCTAGTTAATCCCTTATTGCTTGTCTCAATTATCGCTTTTCGGATTGGCCCGAGAGGAACATAGTGGGGAGACGGTGTTACCTCTTTGCCTGTGGGACTGGTTTAACTCTCGTCAGGAAGCCGCTGTGGGCTGAGTTGCCACAGGCATGCTTTTGAGTGCAGGCCTGCAAAGGTTTACATCTATCTGGAGAGCGACCTCCCTGGGAACGGATTCCCCTCTTCTGCTCACTCCGGAGGCAGACGAGGCAGACGGAGGGATGGAAGGGGCCGGAGCGGGCAGCCCTGGGGAGGGCTGTTGCAGGGGCTTTGGGACAGCCTCCGTGTGTGCTGACACCCAAGTTCTTTTGAGGCTCAGGTCCTGCCCTGCCCTCTCGCTGCCTCCTCCTGCCCAGCAAATCCTTGTGCCTGACCTGACGGAGTGTCAGCTGATTGATGCCGGCCGCAGGTGTTCTCAGCTAGAGGAGTAGCTAGAACTGTTCGAGTAGCAGGCCCCCCTCGGGCTGGTACTTGGATCACGTGGTCCTGGCAGCCGGCGTCTCCTGTCCTGGCATCGTCCGATGATGATACTGGTGTGGCTGACATCCCCGGAGGGGTTCTGCTGCTCTGCACTGAGGGGCAGCATGGCTGCAACTTGAGCTTAAGACCTGGAAACATCTGTGTCGGACATGTCCAGGGAGCCGTGAGAAGCAGGGGCTGGTGCGAGGCCCAGCAGGAGGCTGTGGGCTGGGGTAGGCAAGTTCTGAGGGGCTCTGAGCTCCAATGCTGGGCCGTCTGTGGACAAGGCCAGGAAGATGCCCTGATGAGAGCTGGCCCGTGACATGGTGGGGGCCCCACTGCCAGGGGTAGGGACGCCCCAGGAGGCTACCGGGGCAGGCCTGGCCCTGAGCCACAGCAGTCAGGACTGAATCTACCAAACCCTCTTGTTTATTTTCAGCCTCTTACTCTGCCACGCCAACTCACCTAGGCAGGCCCCAGGGCTAGAATAACTACTAGACCACTCTTCCAGATGACACGGTGCCCTCTTCCTGCACCTCTGCTCTTCTAAGCACTTTAAGTGAGAACCAGTAGAAAGGGAGAAAATTGTTAAATGGCTCTGCCGTTCGGTCAAGCCGACATGCTCCTGTTCCCGGGGACTGCCTCTGAGAATGGTCCCAGTCAGCTCAGTCCCCAGAAGGTCGGCCATTCCAGCGTTAATTACAGACCAGTAATGGACCCTTACATGGTGGATAATAATCGTAATTATAAATGAGCATCGGTGGTGAATAATGATGGCCATCAGTGTGCAGATGTTTGGTTTATTCCAGAAAGGCCCCAGAAAGGTGGTCCAGTCCTGAGGATCCAGCAATGAGTATTCTGAGGGCCAACTGGGGGAGAGGAAACCTCCATGGTTCACTGGATGTGGAACAGACAGGAAAGGGGTGACTTTCAAAAAGCTTACAGGCCCCTGGCTTTGAAGAGGGGTGTTTTCTTGCCACCCACGACCCAGTGAAGCCCAGACAGAACAAGTTCATTCATCTCTATAATGGTGGGTGCTGTTCTAGATGTTGCAGATCCAGAAGTGAAAAAGCTGACAAAATCCCTACCTTTGGGAAACCCCCATTCCATTCTGGGCAGATGGACCATAAACAAGCTCAATAAGTAGGAAAGGATCAGCTGTTCCACGGTGCTAAGTGTGACAGGGGAAACAGTGTCAAGAGAGGGAATGACAAGTGTGTGTGTGCAACAGGAGTGGAGGGTGGGCTGACTGTGGATTGGGAGGCCAGGTAAGGCTCCCTTGGGCCTTTGAGCCAACACTTGGAGATGGGGAGAGAGGGAGCCACAGGCTATAGGGGGACGGGGGTTTCCAGCACAGTGTGTGAGGGCGGTGTCCCCACAGGGTCTGAGGAGCAGCAGGGCAGCCAGGGCAGCTGGACAGAGGGGATGCAAAAAGCATCCCCTGGTGGAGATGAGGCCAGAGAGATAGTGGCCAAGTCAGCTTGGCTCTGGCATCATAAGAACTGTGGTTGGTACTTGGAGGAAACTGGGAGGACTGGCAGTAGCATGGAGAACTGCCCTGCCTCACCAGGAAAGGGAAGGAGGCAGCGGTGGGGCAGTGAGAGGGGGCCCAGGTCCACTCATCAGGGCAGGGGACCAATCCCACCGGACCTCCAGCAAAGACGCAGATGCTCCTTTGCAGCAGGCTTCCAGCACCAGAGGCCTCCGGGAGTCAGCAGCATTAGAAGGAGAAGCCTCGGCTAAGGTTGAGTAGAGAACCTGAGTCACAAAGGGCCCAGGCAGTTGTCCTTGCCCCAGGCCAGGGGAAAGGGAGCCGAACACCATCCTCCATGTACAAACACAGAGACTGCTGACGAGCCCCACTCTATGGAGAGGTTGTTGAAAGCACAGCTCCGCCATCGGCCAGCTGCGGCTCTGACCTAGACCCTGAACTCTAGCACGTGGGTCTGTTCACCCTGTCAAAGCCCTGAATCTGTTCTTTCCTTCCTCTGCTTCCTTCCCTCGTCCCATGATGGGTTCACATCCTGCCCAACACTCAGTGTTCTTGCAGGGAGGGGAGACCGGAGCTGGTCAGGGGGTCTGGGCTTTGTTCAGACAGCACCAAGAAGCCCCTGAGGGGTTGCAAGTAGGAGAAAGTGACAAGGTCAGGTCTGCTTTTCTAAAATGACACTGGGGATGCTGCCTGGAGAGCACGCAAAGGGAGCAAGGACGGAAGGAGGGAGATGTTCAGAACTTGCTCAGGGTGCAGGTCAAAGGAATGGCAGGCTGGGGGATGGAGAGACCGGTGGAGTTGAGAGATATTCTGGGGTGAAATCAGCAGTACCTTGTGGTGGGTGGATATAAGGAAGTGGGGGGTGCCCAAGACTGACACAGATCTTTGCCCCTGATGACTGCTGTGTCCCAAGTAGGGGAGCCCTGTATCAGCTCAGGTTCAGGGAAACAAGCTTGGCTGAGCATGGGATGTGCTGAGTTTGAGATGCCTTGAAATGTCCAGGAGGAGATGTTGGGGGAAGTTGGAGATGCAGGCAGGTCTACAGTCAGAGACCCTGGGACCAGAAGTATGCATGAGGGGGCCACCTGAGGCAGTGGGTATGTGGGCATGGGCACTGTCACTTTCAGAGGGAGCTAACAGGAGAGGAAGGTTGAGCCTTGAGAAGCAACAACGCCTAATGACCAACTAGGAGGGGGGTGAGACAGCAAGGAGGCCAAGAACGGGACTGAGTAGCAAGTAGAATACCAGGAGAGGGTGGGACCATCTGTCAGCAAATATTTATTGAGCAGTTTCCCAGCCCTAGTAGGGAAACAAACAGATGCAGCCCCTATTCTGGAACTTTCCATCTTTGGTGGGAAGGCAGGAATTAGGAGTCGATAATCAAATCACAATGCGAGATACCTGTTTGAAGGAGAGAACAGGGGTTTAAGAGATATGGTAAAGAGAGGGGGTGTCGGGAAGGTAAAGTGTGAGGTCAGACTTGAAAGATGTGCGCAGGCAGAGGGTGGCCCAGGGGGAGTGCACGGAACCCACAGGGCCGGATAGGTATGGCTGGGGAAGGGAGATGTGCAGGAAGACCTTCCAGAACCTTCTGATTAGTAGTCTGGGTCTCCTGGTCAGCTCCCAGGAAGGCACCACAGAGTCTCATACAGGATGTGACCTGCTGGGCCAGGGTCATGACTGTGGAGAAGGAAGTGTTGTGGTTCCAGCTGAGAGTTCCAGGATCAATAGTGATTTGCCAGGCAGGGGTGGGAGAGAGGAGGAGTGGGTGTGCATTCCAGAAAGAGGGAACAACAAGTGCTGTTTCTAAAAACAGGAAAAAGAGCCTGTGTTCCACAGAGACAGGACTCAGGCTGGACTATGCCCTCTAGCAGGATTCTCTGAACAATAGTATGCAAATAGCTAATATCTATTGTCAGGCATGCTACCAAGTACTCTCTATACTTAACCTCTTTTGGTCTTCAAAACAACCCTAAGGAGAGAGACATTTTTGTTGGCCATATTTTTTCCAGATGAAGAAGCCCTATCTTTCTGTTTCTCAAACAGGCCAAGCCCACTCTTGCCCCAGGACCTTTGCACTGCTATGCGCACTGCATGGCACACTTTCCCTGCTCTTCCTGCAGGTCTCAGATCTGTTGCCACCTCTCAAGTTCGTCCCCCACCTCTGTGTCTAGTCCCTGCCTCACCAACATGGTCACATTCCCCATTCCATCAAAACACATATCCCTTCCTGGAAATTCTCTCCTTGCATTTGCTTGTTGATGTGCTGACAGTCTGACTCCCTAGGAAGGATGTGAGGTCCATGACAGCCAAGCCATGTTTATCTTGCTTAGAACTAACCTCCAGGGCCTGGAAAACCCAGCAAAGGGGGGCAATAAAGACAACGTTGACACAAATGGACATAACTTACCCACTGTCACAAAGGTAAGAAGTGGAGGAGGCAAGACTTGAAACCAGGGCTCTCTGACTCCTGAACCCCTGCTTTTAAACACGGCTTAAAACCATGAACTTACAGGCTGGAGGGGCTGGCCCCCAGCTGGGAGAGCGGCATCCCCGATGTGCCCCAGAGCAGGAGCAGACAGGAAGGAGGCCTGGCCTTGGGAGCTACTGCCATTAACTCCTGCAGGACGTGAGGCAGTGGACCCCCTCCCACTGCAGCCTGCCACGGAGTCTGGCAGAGAGGGCAGGGAGGCCGCCAGCCCTTCCAAGATGCCTGCAGGATACGTACAAGAATATGCAGCTCAGAGGGGAGCAGCCTGGCAGGCAGGCAGAGACGGCTTTGTGTCTCTTATTTCCTGTTCTCTGGGCAGAGGAGGGCAGTGGAAGGAGTCCTGGGCGCACCAGCCTCAGTCCCTGACTACGCCACGGCCTCACACAGGTCACTTAACAATCCAGCCTTGGTCCCATTTGCAGACTGAGGAGGTCGGGTTCCCACAACTCTAACATGGTTTCCATTTTTTGGAATAGTCTGCTCCAGTCGGGTGAGGCTCAGTAAAT